ATGGTGCAGGAGCAGCATCACCGTCAGTGCATGGACACCTCGTGCAGGAGTCACCCACTGTGGTGTGCACCCAGGGAAGAGCCCTGTGAGTGTTCAAAACACAGAGCTCGGGTCAGGCTCTGACACAGCAGCTGCACAAAAAGGGGGTTTCTAAACATTTTTAGCTTCAGAGACCACTCTGAGCCACGCCACAGCCAGCTCTGCCCCGTGCTGGGGCTGCAAAGAGGCAGGACCCACTCTCAGCATCACAGAATCCCAAACTGGTTTGTGTTAGAAGGGACCGTAAAGCTCCTCCAGCTCCAACCCCTGCCACGGGCAGGGACACCTTCCACTAGAGCAGGTTGCTCCAAGCCCCTGTGTCCAACCTGGCCTTGAGCACCTAGCCCCTGCTGCTGCTCCAGGGCTGGTGTCCTGCAGCTCTCGCCCCTGCTGCAGTGCTCATCCGAATAAACCCATCCTGATGCCCAGCAAACTGTGAGCAGATCTTCTGAGATCTTCCTTTTCCCCCTTCCAGCCCCATCAACAGCCAAGATTTAACCACAACCTGCAAGCACACGTGAGGTTCTTGGTGGGCACGTCCTGGCCATCATCCCACCTCTGGGCTGCCCTCCTGCTGTCACCATGGGGACAACCAGGTTCTTTCAGGGACCTGCAGCAGATTAGGAGCAGGGGGTACCAGTACCACCTGCACCAGGCCATATCCCCATCCCAACCTCACCACCACCCTTCCCATGGAGAAACACCAGCAATGCCCCAGTGCAGCAGCAGCAAGTCCAACCTTTGCAGCTCACCAGTTCCAGGAGGCCAAGGAAAATGAAGATGATTGATAAGCTTGGAGCTTAGGAAAAGCAGAAATATTTTAGCAAGGGGTTGTTTTAGCAAGAGTCAGGTCTTCAAGCCACCAACCGGCCCTTCTTCTGTTAATGGAACACAGCATTAAAGAGTTAAATTAGAACATAAAGAGAAAATAATCACAAATAACAAGCTGGCTGCTTAATTTATGGGGGGAAAATAGAATAAATACCCCTTCTGGAGCTTGATATAAAAGAGAGCTAAAGAGCATGCCACCTCCATGGGTTTCTCCCAGCAGCTGTGGGCGCAGATGGTCTCACTTCTCCTTTTCATTCTCCTAAGGCAGAGCCTGTATTTCCCCTGAATTTTACCATTCCCGTTCTTTTATGGGAGTATTCATAGCAAAAGAGCAAAGTGCAAACGTAACCACTTGAGCCCCTATGTATTGCACTTCAAAAATACGGAGCTGACTGAGTATCTATGCATTAAACATCATCAGAAGCAGGCAGTTGGTGGTGACAAGCTGCTGATTCCAATTCCTCTGCCTAAAACCACGGAAGCACCTGAAAAAGGGAACCTGGCACGGTGTTTCATCCTCTGCCTCCGATCACTGATGCGATCACGGCCACCTACAATCACTCCTTTTGTTCTCTGGGTGTGTAAGCAAGCGTGAAGCAGCTGCTGGCACAAATCATGCTGCAAGGATGTCAAAATGGCATGGAAAAAGGTTGAAACACACACTTAAACTCAGCTGTGGGGCTGGGACAGAGCCACGGCCCCAGCCAGGGCACGCTCAGCTTTGGCTTGGCAAACACCAAGGGGTTTGTAGGAGAGAAGAGACGGAGCGAGCCCGAGGAACATGCCAGGAGCTCTTTATTAGGAAGAGCAGAGTTACCAGCACTGTGGACATGGTGTGACGGGGTGACAGGAGGTGGCCATGCTCCAGCTCAGAGTGCTGCCTGGACCCCACAGCTGGATCAACCAGTGCCCCACAGCTGGATCACGCACCAGTCCCTGCTGCAGGCTTTAAGGGCAAAGAGAAACAAAGCCAGACACAAACAGCATCTCTGCAGCTCCACAGGTGAATTTTGGGGGGCCAGGGGGCTTAACAGACTAAAAAGGTAGATCACAGGGACAACAGATGGGTGGGAGGACAATACTGAGGCAACAGCATGAGGTTCTTCACCCGCCCCATGTACCTGCCTGCACAGTCCTGAGCACAGCTGGAGTTCTCTCAACAGCCTTGCACACCCAAGCTGAGTTAATCACTATTCATAACAAGATGTGCTATAAAATGGCACAAACAGTAAAAAAAACCTCAAAATAGTGTGAATCCACATTATTGTTTTTAAAACTGTCACTAGAAAAATACTGCACTTATAAAAATAATGTGCATGTAAGCACAGAATCATTAGAACCAACCTCCTGTCAGCCTTGTATGTTGATCTTTGAACTCTTTGTTTGAGAGGCCTGTTAAACAAACATAGAATTTCTCAATCTCTCTCAACAGTGTGCATATAATTTAATATAGAAAGGACAAATATGCAACGTAAGACAGTAAATTACAAGTGGTTAATACATTCTGCAAATATAATTACAGAAATGCACAGTTATGGCATGATCACAAGTCCAACCTCTGAACCACCAGCTACTGAGAAAGACATTTGTAGCCAGCTGAAGGCAGCATTAATTTCAATCCAAGTTTGCTGTTAATATGCAATGTTTGTATAAATATGCTATGAAAGTTTATATATATACACACGCAGACAGAGAAAGAATGTTTTATTATGTGTATATATAAAATCACTTACTTGATGGAAAGACCCTCCAATTCTAGCTGCAAAACCACAATCTAGACACAATTTGGCATTTCCCCCCCCCCTTTAAAAAATGAATTTAAAAAAGAAGAGTCAAGTTCTGACTCCCTGCACAAAATGGAACTGGGATGTGGTGTGACAGAACCATGTCTCCAGCTCAGCAGCACGACTGTGCAGCCTTTGGCTCTCTAGACAGGGGGCTTTTAGACTAATACGGATTTTTATTTAGAGAAGAACAGGTAGAGAAGCAGAATCAAAGCTGAAAATCCTGCTTTTTCAACTTAAAAAGCAGGAAAATAAACCTGCAGATCTCCCACTTTTCAGGTTTTACACTTAGAAACCCCTGTGAAGAGAAGCCAGCATGAGGATGGCCGCAGGCATGGCTCCCTGGAGCTCACCACCAGTTGCTACAATCATTTTTAAGGTAGTTTTTGCTAGATAATGCACTTCTAAACATGTCTGTGCATAAACACATGCTACCAACACAGGCAGCACAGACATCATCTTAAAAAGGTGTAGACCCAACGATGCTCAAGGTTTTTACACCTATGCCTCTGCTCTGGCAGCAAAGCTCAGGCAACTTTGGTTTTGTTTGTGTAACTGGAGAGGTGAAGCCCATTCCTGCAGAGGAGGAGACGCCCGGCTCACCCTGCCCATCCCTCTGCATCCAAAACCCCATGCCCTTGGCCAAGAAAGAAGTTAATTCAGTTTAAAACCTCGCTTCCTAATAAAGAGAGGGAACAGAATGCTTTAGAAAGCTTAAGAAATCATTTATACACATGGTCAAAGAACAGCTGCTCTTACACAGTGAGTAGCCGGTACCTTACAGAGTATTTGCCTATACACCCGCCGGTGGCTGGCTTTGCCCAGGAGGGAGCAGAGCTGCTGTCACTCTCCTATAACAAAATGCAGGTTTTCTTGTCCTTGAAAGGGTTCTCAGAAGCTGGAATGCCCATTAGCAACGGATCTTTCTTGGCGTGTTCTTCACAGTAGAGCATTAGGTCTGCTGATGCTTTTGACACCTGCAGAACACAGGGGGAAAAAAAGCCCATTAAATGGTGTTTTCCATGGTAACATGATCACATGTGCTGCTGATGGGTACAAAGTCCCTGTGTGTAATGTGTGTGTGATGTGTGTGTTCAAGGCCAGGTTGGACACAGGGGCTCAGAGCAACCTGCTCTAGTGGAAGGTGTCCCTGCCCGTGGCAGGGGTTGGAGCTGGAGGAGCTTTAAGGTCCTTTCCAACACAAACCAGGCTGGGATTCTGTGTGGGACGGGAGAGGTGCTCGGAGACCAACACCCTCTCCAGGGCCCCGTCTCCTGCAAAAGAGACCTGGGCTCACTCCAGCTTTACATGCAGGGAGGAAGAAAGGATGGACCCCGGTGCTCTTGCGGTTGGTCTGTGACTCCTGGCAGCAGCACTGCCTGGCCCCTACACGGCTTCTACAGAAGACTAAAAATAAACAGGACGAGGTTCCAAATAATACAGCAGGTTTGTAATGAGGTTTGTAAGTGGGGACAGTAAACACAAGTGTCCTCAGATGACCCGGCAGCATGAGCTTGCAGCACAGAACCCCTGTGTGCTGGGTGCACCCCCAGAGCTCAGGGAGGGGATCCTGCCCCTCTGCTGCGCTCTGGGGAGACCCCCCCTGCAGCCCTGATCCAGCTCTGGGGAACAGCACAAGAGGGACGTGGAGCTGCTGGAGTGAGGCCAGAGGAGGCCCCGGAGCTGCTGCGAGGGCTGGAGCAGCTCTGCTCTGGAGCCAGGCTGAGAGAGCTGGGCTGGGGCAGCTGGGGAAGAGAAGGCTCCTCAAGGGGACACCTTAGAGCAGCTCCAGTGCCTAAAGGGGCTCCAGGAAACCTGGAGAGGGGCTTGGGACAAGGGGTGTAGGGACAGGACAAGGGCAATGGCTTGAACCTGCCAGAGGGGAGATTGAGATGAGCTCTTGGGCAGAAGCTCTTCCCTGTGAGGGTGCTGA